AGTGCTAAAATTGATATGACTGAACTTTGGCATCAAAGACTCCGCCATGTTAACTATAAAAGCATGTCAAATTTCGTCAAAAAGAAAATTGTTGATGGTTTACCTAAAATTAAACAAAATGAAAATGTTGTGTGCAAGCCGTGTCAACAAGGAAAACAACTTAGGATAAACCATAAAAAAACATCTAAAATCTTGACAAACAGACCCTTAGAACTTCTCCATATGGATTTAATGGGACCTTCTAGAGCCTAGGAGGTAAAGGTTATATTCTTGTTGTGGTAGACGACTTCTTTAGATACACCTGGAGTGAGCTACTAAGAGAAAAATTCGAGACTTGTGATCTGGTTAAATCCCTTGTGTAAAAGACTCAGAATTGAAAAAAATCTTTCCATTTCTAGGGTTCGAAGTGATCATGGAAAAGAGTTTGAAAACTCTAATCTTGAAAACTTTTGTTTAGAGGAGGGGATTCAGCGTGAGTTCTCCTCATCAATCACTCCCCAGCAAAATGAGATTGTTGAGAGGAAAAATAGAGTGCTTCAGGAAATGGCTAGAGCCATGCTTCACGACAAGGATCTAGTAATCCATTTCTGAGGTGAAGCTATTAACACTATCTGCCACATGGTGAACAAAGTATACCTGAGACCGAAAACCGATAAGACTCTTTATGAGATCTGGAAAGGCAAGAAGCCTACTGTTAAATACTTTCGTGTATTTGACAGCAAGTGCTACATTTTGAGGGATACATAAAACTTAGGCCAAGTTTGATTCCAAAAGTGATTAAGAAGTTTTTCTAGGATATTCTAGGAACAATAGAGCCTATCGAGTATATAACTTGAGTACTCAGAGTGTCACGGAGTCTATACATGTTATTGTTGATGATGCTTTCTCTGAGGATGAGAGTGTTAAAAATGTGGTAGATTTAGGTGATCTAAATGATGATCAAGGACCCATAACTGAGGATAAAGAACAATCAATTCCAAAATCTCCATGGTCCCCCAAAGGCATAGACATTTCTATTAAGGATCCTTCACCTAGTGAACAAACTAAGCTTCCTAGAGAACCATCATCTAGGGTCAAATCTAACCATCCTAAGGTCAACATCATTGGGGATCTAAATGTAGGTATGAGGTTAAGAAAGAGAGTTCTGAATAACCTAACCTATACAAGCTATGTATCCCAGATTGAGCCTAAGAAAGTTGAGAAAGCTCTTAGAGATGAATGTTGGGTGAATGCAATGCATGAGGAGCTTAATCAATTTGTTCGAAACAATGTTTGGTATCTAGTGCCTAGGCATGATGATTGCAATATGATAGGTACTAAGTGAATTTTCAAGAACAAAATCGATGACCAGGGTACCATAACGAGAAATAAGGCTAGGCTAGTTGCTCAGGGGTACACTCAGGTTAAAGGGGTAGATTTTGATGAGACATTTGCCCCTGTTGCATGTCTTGAGTCCATTCGGATCCTTCTTGCAGTTGCTTGTACTTCAAGGTTCAAATTGTATCAAATGGATGTCAAAAATGCCTTCTTGAATGGAATACTTCAAGAAGAGGCATATGTTGAACAACCCAAAGGATTCATCGACCCTAGGTTTCCCATTATGTCTACAAATTGAATAAAGCCTTGTATGGTCTGAAACAAGCTCCTAGAGCTTGGTATGACAGACTCACTGCATATCTCGTTGACCATGGTCTTTCATGAGGTGGCACAGACAAACTTTATTCATTAGACATATTTTGAAGAAACCAAAACTATAGCATAGATCTATGTCGATGATATTGTGTTTACCTCTCCAATTGACTCTCTTGCTCATGAACTTGCCGAATGTATGAAACGAGAATTTGAAATGAGCATGGTTGGAGAGCTAAGTTACTTCCTTAGCCTTCAAGTAAAGCAAACTGACTATGGGTTGTTTGTCTCTCAGTCAAAGTATGCCAAAGACCTAGTTAAGCGATTTGGACTGGACAGTAAAAAACACACATGGACACCTATGAGCACGAGTGCTAAGTTAGGTCATGATCCTACAGGTGAAAGTGTTGATTAGACATTGTATAGGAGTATGATAGGTAGCTTACTCTACTTTACAGCCAGTAGACCTGACATAGCTTTCAGTGTTGGAGTGTGTGCAAGATTTCAGGTAGACTCTAAGGAATCCCATTTGAGTGCAATGAGACGTATCATTAAGTATGTGAATGGGATTGTAAATCATGGGATCTTATATTCCAAAGAGTCAAATCTTGAACTCGTCGGCTATTCTGAAGCCGATTGGGCTAGAAATGTCAATGTTAGGAAGAGTACCTCGGGTGGATGCTTCTATGTTGGTTCTAATCTTGTGTCATGGATGAGTAAGAAACAAAACTCAGTTTCTTTGTCTACAATCGAGGCAGAATACATTGCAGCCAGTAGTTGCTACACTCAATTGCTTTGGATGAAGCAAGTGTTGAATGATTATGGGATAAATCAGGGCACCATGACCGTGTTTTGTGATAACACCAGTGCTCAACATCTCCAAAAATCATGTTCAACACTCTAAGACTAAACATATTGATATTAGTCATCACTTCATTCGTGAACTTATTGAGTCCAATGTGGTATCCCTTGAACACATTGCTACAGAAAATCAGCTTGCCGATCTATTCACTAAACCTTTAGATGGTCTGAGGTTCGAGTCACTTAGGAAGGCTGTTAGTATTTGTGTACCTCCTTGACCAGTTTTATAGGAACATTCATGTACGGTTCATCTCAGTGTCCATTTTTGCATTCATTTCATTACATGTTCATTTTGTTTGCATTTGTCTTTTTCATATATTTTTCAACTCATCATATAAAAATTAAAAAAAAAATTCAGATGACACAACTGTGTGGCGCATTCATGTTTTGAAAAAAAAAATTAAAATTAAAAAAAATAGAATTTCTACAGCATGATACATAATTCTAAACTTGTATGTTGTGATCGTGTATGAGCTAAAATGGATAAGCTGTAGCATTATTTCTATTGCTTGATTAGGTCATCATGGAGTACTTAGTATAGGTATCTTCATGTACCATCTGCACTGCTCACACTATGAATTTATTAGTGGGACTCTATCGTATGTGTGAGATTTGGGATAACTGTCACACGTTAATAGGGTTACTTTGAACATGAATTGACCAATATTTAGTAGACCTAAATCCAAAAATAATCCCTCCATTACAAGAAGCTCATATCTTAGCGTTCTTCTTCGAGGCCTATTTGACTTGAGCAATTAAGCCTACGGGGTCTCTTAAAACTTGGTGCCTATGGTCAACTGACTTGGATTAACCGGCCTAAAGCTCGCTACGTGGGTCATCTTAGTCGCCTAATGGAGAAGAACCTGCACTTAAAATGAAAAATTAATGAGCTAGAAAAATAAGAAAAATGTGCCAAATATGGAAAGCTGGAATAATATGAAAATCTGAAAAATATAGAAACTCATAGTAAGGGGGAGATAAGTATAGGTCCTACTGCACATTACATGGTTTGACTTTTATTAGTAGGAGAATATACTTAGGGTACCGCTATTTTCATTCACGCTTTTTATAAGTACATCCACTTTTAAAAATAAAATTTTACTATATTTTAAATTATATATAAATTTACTTAAATAGACATAAGTAATAATGAAGGGTAATAGATATAAAAATACAAAACTCTAAATTGATCCACTAATTTTTACTTTCATTAAATCATCTTAGAATTTGTGTTTATCTAGATTTCTAATAGATTAAGATCTTCAGGGAGGTAGAGACATTGAATTCTGCTTCAAAGAAGATCTAGCAGCCTTGACCATTACCTGAAGGTATTGTTTAAGCTTGGTAAAAGAGCCCACATAAATCAGAAAATCGCTGGACTTGTGGATTGCTATTGTAAGTGTGGCGAAACATTCATACTCTATTTATATGCTTCGATTTCAAGGTCCCTCTGATTATATGTTTAAAATTACCACTTTGGAGAAGTAATTACTTGTTATGAAACAAGTTGGAGGGGTTCATTCACATCTTATATCTCGAGTTCAAAGAGATAAAAGTAGAGTTGGCTGCTTCATGTCCCAAATAATGATCATGAGGTGTTTAAAATCAAGGGAAAGAATAAGCAAATCCTCTGTTCATTGAGTTCGTCTTTCTTCATCAGCTTCTACGTCGCCAATCAAGATCAGGAAATTTTTCCTTTATTCTCTAAGCGTAAAAAACAACTCACTCGGGCACAAGTCCATGCGAATTTCTTTTCTGAGTTTTTATATCTAGCATTTAATTTCTAGTGATTTTTCTTATCTATTTTTAATTATGGGTTTGCCAAATGCACTAACCTAGCTCTTATTTATAAACTTTTGTGGGGTCTTGAGAAATGGGATGGTGTTTAATTGAATTTGTATTTTATTTCTTTGATTTTTCACTCTATTTGTTGTAGATTTGTTGCACGCCTAAGTTTATTTATTTATTACTTTTATTCTTCTCTACTCGTGCCAAGTTCAAATACTAGAAATGTCAATGCATTTTGGTGTTGTTAGGAGCCCAGATGGACTTCCAATTAGGATAGTGAAGAACCAGCTGTACGAATCACAGTTTAAATCAAATAAATTAATTACTGTTCGAATGCATAACAAGGGTTGTTGGGAGCGATAGGTTATTGAATGATAACTATTTTGCTTGATCTTTTCTGGTGAAATTTGGTATTTTTATGGGGAATAAGGATTAGTTTGTAGTTGTTGAATCTAACTTAATGATCATGAGGTGTATAGTCGACATGCTATTATTATTAAAGCTTAGTCATTATCGACTTTTGTCTCATCGACTTCTTATTGCAAATGCTTGTGGCTTGTCGACGAATTGACGTGCATATTATTGTGTATGATCAATCCAAAATATTAGTTATATCAAGCTCAGGTTATGTAATAAAACCTACTAATCTTAAAGGTTATAAAATAATCTTGTTCGAAGCATTCTAATTCTCAAAATTTCAATACACAGAAATTCAGTGAACAATGGAAGAGATACTGTTAGAGCAAAAATATATAGACATAGCAATATATGAAGAGAAATTTGAAAGAGTAAGGATTACATTTTTATCGTGTTTTGTTGTTTGATTTTTTCCTAACACATTAATACATCAATGAGTTTTTTCACAAGTATTTAGAAAAGTTCCAATTCATCTGCTATTTCGTATACTTATCCGATGTTGTATTTTTTATATTAGTTATTGTTAAATTTATGTCAATGACATTATTTAAAACTATATTTTTAATGTAGGATACATCAACCCATAACTATGATGTCCAGAATGAGTTATCTGTTGATTATACGGATATGTTTACGACAAACATGGGTACGTAATAATTTTATTTTTTTTAACATGATCATATATAAATATATGAATATTTGATGATAAACAGATGTTTACAAGTAGAGAGGCCTTGATTGATTGGGTTAAAACTGTTGGTAAGAGATATAACATGATTGTTGTTATGAAAAAGTCCGACTTCGGCCAAGTTGGGAGAAAACCAAGAATTGATTTTGCATGTGAAAGACATGGTTCATATAGGTGTAGGAATACTAACAAAGAAAATGAAAAACGAAAGAGACGAAGAACTACCGAAACAAAAAAATGTGGATGCCCATTCTTATTGAATGGAAGAAAATTGATAAATGGTGATTATTGGATATTGAAAGTGAAATGTGGGAGAGATAATCATGACATTGCCCAAAACCTTGAAGGACATTCATATGCTAGGAGATTAACTGAGAAAGAGACTTCAATTTTAGTAGACATGTCAAAGAATCATGTAAGACCAAAGAAAATATTATATACATTGAAACAAAATGATGACACAAATGTTAGCACAATGAGGCACATCTACAAGGCACGTCAGAAGTTCATGCTCAAAGAACAAGCTGGAAGGACACAAATGCAACAACTAATGAATAGACTTGTTGAGAATAAGTACATAGAGTTGCACCGCACCTACATGGAGACGAATATAGTTCAAGATTTATTCTGGGCACAACCATATTCAATAGATTTGTTGTGGGCTTTTCCTCGTGTGATAATTATGGATTGCACGTATAAGACAAATAGGTATCGCCTACCGTTGTTGGAAATAGTAGGTGTCATTTCTACTGATTTAACATTTTCGATCGCTTTTGCATACTTGGGAAAAGAACGTGAGGAAAACTACGCATGGGCTTTAGGGAGATTGAAGAGTCTAATGAACGATATAATAATGCCTAGTGTTATTGTTATTGATAGAGAGCTAGCTCTAATGAAGGCCATTGAAAAAATATTTCCAACATCTACTAATATTTTATGTAGATGGCACATTTCAAAGAATGTGTTGGCAAAAACAAAAAAATATTTTGACAATCACAAGGACCAATGGGATGCCTTTATGCATATGTGGAATTTGTTAGTGCTTTCAACATCCATAGAAGAGTACAAACAAAATCTAAATATCTTATAATCCAATTTTCAACAATTTCCGCAAGCAATTGATTATGTAATGAATTCATGGCTTCTTCAATATAAAGAGAAGTTTGTCGCAGCTTGGATAAATCTACACATGCACTTTGGAAACACGACAACTAATAGGTCATGGACAAGAATTCATGGACAAGAATTCATGCATTATTGGAGCTACAACATACAGATATTAAAGCGTGATTTGAAAAGAGTTTGGGTACTGTCCAACATAATTTCAAACCTACCTTGTTTAAAAAGCTTAGGGGATTTACATCAAGAATTGCAATAAATATGATATTTCAAGAGTCCAAAGGAGCTGATGACATAGGAACTGACAAGGTAACTTGTGGATGTGTTATACGACAAACACATAGATTACCGTGTGCCCATGAGATTTCAGAGTATAAGAAAGAATCTCAACCCATTCCTTTATCAAGAGTACACTCTCACTGGAACAAGCTTGATATAGTTCCTCTTGATAAAGGTAACACATCCGAAATTAATTGTGCATCATTATTTGAAATGATTGAAAAACGTTATCGAGATAATAATGATCATGTGAAGGCAGAAATCCTACAAAAATTGAAAGAGATTGCTAGTCCGAGTTCTACATCATTAGTTGAGCCACAAGTCCAAACTAAGACAAAGGGTTGTCCATCTTCAAAAATAGATGTATCTACTCGTTGAGACCCATCATATTTTGAGTTAGTTCTATCTGGACAAGATAATACGTTACAACAATTGGATAGTTCCATTACACATTTAAGTCAACCCATGTTATTAAGCCAGCCTCCAATTCGACAAAAACATAAGGTGTATCGAGCACGTGGATCAAAGTCCATGGCTTATTTTGATTCGTTCCCTATTCGTTTGAGACCTTACATAGTTGATGTGCAAGATGTGGCCACAGATGGCAATTGTGGTTTTCGGGCTGTGGCTAATATTCTAGGTATAGGTGAAGAGAATTGGTCTTTGGTCAGAAAAGACCTAATAAAGGAGCTTGAATCTCATTTTGATGATTACTCTAGACTCTATGGAAATGATGATATGGTCCATGAGTTGATTCATTCACTTTCTCATTTTGATGGTTCAGACTATGCCGGATATGGGTTATGTTATTGCTTCAAGATATAAAATTATTCTTGTTCACTTGAGCCAACAACAATGTCTTACATTTCTTCCACTTTGGGATGAACCATTTGCAATCGCATCTCATAAGATTGTTGCAATTAGATTTGCCAATAACTGTCATTTTGTCTCGGTAAATATTCATCAAATTAATTAAATTTTTAATTAACTAAATAATATTTCTACTTATGTTTTTCTATGTGATTGTGTACAGATAAATTGGCATACTAGTGGACCAATGCCACCTATTGCTTGTAATTGGTACAAGTACCATCATCCATGTGCAGAAGGTTGGGCTACACCTTATCATGCTAGGATGCAATTTTTTAGGTCCCTGGTAGAAGAATGTGTAGCTATATCAGAGATAATTGATTTGGATAAACCATAAGAACAATTAACTACTACTACTATTATTATTTTTTTGATCTGATAACACTACTATTATTAATTGAACAATTACTTGATTTGTTCGCTACTATTCGATTACCTAATTATGTTATGTTTATCCGCAAAGATTTGAAGCCTAATTTTGATTCACATTGATATATTATGTACAAATTATTTCCAGCATGTGATGTTTTCTACTTGTTATTAATGTGAAGCATTTTTTGTCTAATTGAAAAATAAGAAATTTAGGCATGTTAAAACATTTTTCTCTAAACATTTATGTAATTTTTTCTACTTGTAATTTTTGATTTAAGCATACCATGAAGAGATGATTGATGCAAACCAATCATCGTCCAAACATGATGAGTTCCAAATGTTACTCGGTATACTTTCTCTAGAGACAAACCTCCTCCTAATTTGAATGTTGATTCATGGTGGTTCGCCTCTGATGAATTGAGTTTTATGAATAAGAATGATAAAATTTCTAGTAAACACTGTTAAAATGGTTAGCTGAATAATATATATTAATTTAATGTTCAATGATATATATTAACTCCAACGTTAATAATTATTCGGTGACCTAAAGATTTCTTTTTTAGATTTTCATGGGAAACTTTGCTATTGCCATGAATTCTTGTGTTCCGATGTTAACGTATACAGTTTGTCTTTTAACTATTTAGAGATGATAATAATAATTTCATGAGGGAATGTGCTTACATTGAACGATGGCTAACTGATGAAATCCTAAATCTAAGACATGAATGTAATAAAATTAATATCATCTTTGTTAGTATTCCATTCATTTTATGTTTAAAAGAGTTTATATTTTAGGGATTGTGTGAATCTAGCGTTAGGGATGTACTAAAATTTATGTGGATGTATGTTATTTAAATGAATGAATTTAGTAAGGACAAAATTGGAATGTAACGTGGATGTAAATAGTATTTTTTTAAAATTTTAAAATTTTATTAGGGATGAACTTAGAGTGGGATGTACTTATAAAAAATGTGGATGGAAATAGCACTATCCTATACTTATTGACAGTGATTGACATGTCCCTTCTTACAAAATTAAGGTATGAAGTCCCACATGGATTGGACTAGTGACACTTTACACACATAGTCACTTGTACTTTTTACTCCATTCTGATCTGCACTGAGTATATGGGAAGGTCTATGACTTATTGATTTTATCTTTGCATCCTATCAACTACATTTTTAAGTTATTATATGTTATTGCTTAGATTGTAATTGACACGATACCCTTCATCATTTGTGACAAAAAGGGGGAGAGAAAAGTGTAACTGAGATAGAGACGTAGATACATTGATTTACTGCATAACATTTATAAGAGTTTGCAGTAAAAGGAAGCGTTGCATTGCATTCCATATCATATCATATCCATTGCTGTTTGAGTTTTTATGTTTAGTGATATTGGTGTTTCGGTTGGTATTTTGATTAGTATCAATGTCACGTCTCAAACTAGCATGTTGAATTGTGATTAAGTGCTTTAATTTTTATATTTTCTGTATCACGTGCTTTTACACTGAGTATGTAAGTTTTTAGATTTCAGGAAATAGGTACAACAAGGAATGCAAAACTCAGTTATTCGAATTTTGGGTAGTTTAGGTTGTTTTAATTGATTGTAATCCCTTGACTTGAATTTGTATAGTATTGTCACAAAATGCCAAAGGGAGATATTGTTAGATTCTATATTTTAATTGACATTTTATGAACAAAAAGGACTTAATTGTATACGTCTAAAAGTCAAGGCGTGAAGTGCAATAATATATAGTTGAGTTGGGCTAGGGTTTGAGCTTGTAAAATTAGGGATCCATAAGTAAAAGTCTCTATATTTATGTATATATGCACAGAAGAAGAGGTGCTGGTCGCTGAAGACATATACATATAAACACTCGAAAATTGGACATCTTGGGAGAGTCAAGAAATTGATGTTGCTAAGTTTAATTATATATACTTGCATGCAGAGACAAAAGTGAAGAGAATAAGATTGCTTGTTGGTGAAGACTGTTGGTGGAATTAACAAGTGTTAGTGGCTGAATTTGGACCATATAACTACATGGAAATTGAGGCAGAAAGGGTTGAAATTCAAAGCTCCTGGAAGCCAAATTGGGTATATATATTCACGAAAAAACCAAAGCATATTTGGTGGCTGAATTGAATAGATTATATATTCACAAAACACAGCTTTGGGTAAATTGAGTGGCTAGATTATATTAATATATATATATATACACACTTTGGGCTGAAATTATGTCATACACTCACACGGAAATTCAGGTAGTAAAGGGGCTGGTTGCTGTCATAATTTATATGCACAGACAGAGACAAAAATATTAGCTGCTGGATGAATTAAAAGGTAGTGCTGCTGAATTTAATTTATTATCCACATGCATGCAGAGACGAAGTGGATTTGGAGTCTATTGTTACTATAAGTATATACAACATTATTGGCGACAGTTTTTGGAAGAATTAAGGGTGGCCGACTGCTGAAATTGTAATATATATATATCCACAGAAATTGAGGTAAAAAACGTGGCTGCTTGAGGAATTAGAAAGAGGTTGTGGTGCTGAAATTGTTTCATACCTATACACGAAAATTGAGGCGGTGGTTGCTACTTTGTTCCATCAATGAGAGAAATTTTCATATATTTGTTCAATAGATCCAAGGTGAAATCAATTGGTGAATTCATCCATAACACCTTGTGATCCGGCAACCAATCTTTTGGGAAAAACATCAATCTTGTGAAGACAAAATATCGTGATTCCTTAATCCTTTGAGGAACGGACTCTCTCATTAGGGGATTGAGAGAGGTGGACAACAAGCGCATGAACTGGAAAAGAGCAGGAGGTTCTTGAAATTTCACTTGGTGATACAATTAGCTAAAGACCAGAAAACTGTATTGGACAGCAGATTGGGCTGCAGGACGTAGATCGGGAAGCTAGCAGGAGACTAGTAGTATCTACGGTAGTAGATCGTAAGACTGGAACAGTGGGTCTGACTGGGTACGGAGTTTGGCAGAACTTGTACTTGCTGGATTGGTATAGTGGAAACTACTAGCTTCGTCTCGGAGTTTTACCCACATTGGGGTTTGTCCATCATCAAACAACTGTGTTCTTTATATTTATGCAATTTACTTATTTTCGGTAGTTCAACGTAGGATAGTAAAGCGTGTGAATTGACTTGGACATATTAATAATTGTGACTTGTTGCATTTATTAATTAATTTGTAAAATTTCGCATAAACACCTATTAACCCCCCTCCCCCCTTTAGGTGTTATTTGGATCGAACTACGTTATTTCAATATATGCTAAAAAAATAAGCTCTATGAAAATGTCATGTCTTCTGTATTCTTGAAACTAGAAAATCTTAAAGCATTGTAAAGTTCATTACTTCTCACTTTTTAACGCGTTAATACTTATGGGGTGTGTCATGTGTGTCATTGATTTGTCTTTCAATGAGAGTGTTTACATGGAAAAGTATTTCAAAAGGCAATTATTACCACAACTATAATGTTGAATTTTAATTTCAAAGTGTCATTCTTCCTTTCTTTTTCTTTTCTAATTTTTTTAGCGATTATCTCTGTCCAACATATTTGAAAACAAGCCATAATGGAAAGAGGAGAGATGCAAACGAGGTGGTTGATTTTCCTGTAATTGTAGAAATTTATTAAATTCTATGCTATATGTTGTTAGCACAAGAGAGGAAAAGCATAAACTTTAGCCTTAATTATTTCCAGAAGTAAATAATGTAATTTGTTTTAAAATAGAATAATATGTTGCAATTTGTTGTCTTCACAGCTTGGATAATGTTATATATAACTTATTTTTGTTAAACTTTATGAATATACGTTCTTTAAATGAATGAATAAAGCAAGAGTAATGTTGAAATATAATGCGGATAATATAATACTTTTCTTAAAATTTAAAAATTAGTAATAGGAATAGATTTAGAGCATGATAAATATATAAAGTGGTGTGCATATGTAATATTTAAATGAATGAATTTAATAAAGATGGTATTGAAATGCAATATGCATGAATATATTACTTTTCAAAATTTTTAATAGGGCTTGATTTAGAGTGTGATAGATTTATAAGAATAGTGTATAATAATAGAAACTTTCTATAAAAATTCCACTTACCCAATTGACTGTGAAAAAGAAACAAGTTTAAGAGTGCTTGGTGGCCTATATTTTTCATCCATATTCCTAGGGCTGGACATAATCTGGTTTGGTTCGGTTCTTGTTTCTAACGAGAACCAAACCAATCCGAAATTTTCGAGTATTTAGTAAGTGGAACCGTCGAGTCTAAATTTAATTACGAAACCGTTCGGGTTCGGTCTCATTCGATTCCGTATTATAATTAAATTTTTTAATATATACAAAGTTACCTTAATTTAATTAATGATATGTTCAATATTAGCTATTACAAAATAACGTAGTTCAATCTTCTGTGTTTTACGTCTATCTTTGTTGAATTCTTCATAAATTTGATTATTAAAATCATGAAAAGAGAAAGATAGCGATCTCAAAATAATTAAGAGAGATGTTGTAGAACTTTAATTCGATTTTTTCAGTAGAAATGACACTACAGTAGAATAACAGATTTTGATAAAATTGAGTTCAATTTGATTAAATTGATTTTGAACTAAAAATTAGAAATAGGAAAATCATATTTTGTAGTTTGAACTAAATTAATTAGTTAACAAATTTATTTAGAAAAAATAAAATAATTTTACTTATTTAAAACAAATTAATTAAAAATATTACGGAGATTCAGTTCTTCGGATTTTGGCCTAGAACCGAGAACCGAACCATACCCGTTGGTTCTTGATTCAAATACCCGTTTGAGTATATAATTTAAGAAGAACTGTCGGGTTCGGTTTGGTTTGAGTTCGGTCGGTTGGGTTCGGGAGTTTTGTTCAGCCCTTCATATTCCTACTTTTGTACAGTTTGATTGATATTTTTTTCATGAAAA